ACGAACATGGCAACCCAGGCCTAAACCTGGGGATGGAACCCCCCCCCCCCCCCCACCCTACCAGGCGCAAGTCTCCACAATCTGGACACAGCGCAGCTTATGAGGAGATGGTCCATTGAAGCAATTCCACCCCCAAACTTTGCTTAGGGTTCAGGGCTAACCCTAAACCCTAAACCCTAAACCCCAAACCCTAAACCCAAAACCCTAAACCCTAAACCCGAACACCCCCCCCCCCCCCCCCCCCCACCCACAAAAAAAATAAAAATAAATCAAATTAAACAAAACTACAATTACCTAAGGAACGCCATCCCTCTGCCGCCACCAGGCCCCCGCGCTTGCCGGCCGACTCCCGCACCGGCCTGAGGGTTTAGGGTTTAGGGTTTAGGGTTTAGGGTTTAGGGTTTAGGGTTTAGGGTGAGGCCCAGCCCTAGACGCCAGAAGGCCCTCGCCCTGGGGTGTAGGGTTTGGGGTTTAGTGTTTAGGGTTTGGGGTTTAGGGCCTATAGTTTAGGGTTTTGGGTTTAGGGTTTAGGCTTTCGGGTTTAGGGCATCATAAAGGGGCCTTCAGAATTACGACTGTGGTCTTTTTATAACCCTATACAATACATAATCATAGCAGCCTGCATCTCTGCTCACTAGCGATATAGGAGCCCATGTACTCGGGAACGGGTATTACAGTGACCCTGACACCCGAAACCCTAAACAAAGGAAACAAGGTAAAGGCTGCGACAAGTTTAAGAGGTCAAAGGTGACTCCAGAGACATCCGACACCCTAAACCCTAAACCCTAAACCCTCAAACCTAAACCCTAAGCCCTCAACACTAAACCCTCGAGCCGGTCTTGTGGGGTTTGGCGTCGTAGGGTTTAGCATGCTTAACGGTTCTCGTGTCTCAGAGGTTTGGGTTTCTACTATTTGCTTAAGAACTCCCCTCCCCCCCTAAAAAAAAAAAAAACAAGTTCTTCGTGAAAAGGGGCAGAATGGGATTAATTTTTTTACCCTAAACCCTAAACCCTAAACCCTAAACCCTAAACCCTAAACCCTAAACCCTAAACCCTAAACCCTAAACCCTAAACCCTAAACCCTAACCCTAGACCCTAAATCCTAAGCTCCTTGAGGAAACAACCTGGATCAGAGTGGAAGGGCAGAGTTTGGGGCTTAGGGGTTAGGCCTTGCCTACTGATACAAAGCTCGAGACCCCCTCCCCCCCCCCCAAAAAAAAAAAAAAAAAAACACCTTTTCCGATGCCAAGTTTCATCCCCGAACCTGATAAAGGTTTAGGGTTAGGGTTTAGGGCTTGCGGAGTTTAGGGTTTATGGAACCCCCTGTACCCCTATACTCCAGGTGCCAGGCTGCCATTGGCCGGGAGATGGCTCCTACGCCTCTCTAACCCTAAACCTCCTAA